GGAGAGAGTCTAATCACAGTTGGAATTTTGATTTTTATTCCTAAAAAAAAAAACCAAATATTGGACAGTTTTCATACCCGTGTTCCATACACACCCCGCATCTCGCCCCAAGACACCTGAGATCGGCGTATACTCTTCGGTTTAGAAAAGAGACAGGTGGTTGTTCTACATGTTAGGGCAGGAGACTAAACTCCCTCCATGTTCTGCCCCACCTCCCACCAACCCACCCACCCCCGTCTACCCCTGCCTCCTGCCCCAATCGGTGTCCCTCCCCCAGCATCTGACATCCGATTGTTGCACTTCAAACAATTCACTACGAATATGCAATAATCAGAAATGCCCTTGGTTGTCTGTTGTTGCTATTTGTTTATTTATTTATTTTATTTTAGTTTTATTTAACATATTTATACATTTATGTCTTGTGAAATTTTTACGTAAATTTTAGCTGTGTGTGTTCAATGCACTACATGTCTGCTCTGTGGTTGAAAGAGGAAAGTAATTTCATCTGTGCTGTATGTTACACGGAGAGCAGTGTTTTTCAACCTGTGTGCCGCGGGAAAATATCCAATTTGTATGCCTGTGCGGTCTTTCGCCCAGAAAGTAATCATGTAGTACCCTCCCATTCCGCTAGGAAGCAGCAACAGCGAGTCAATTGCCTTGTGTTTCGACGAGAGACAAGCGAATTTGTGACGCATGAATGCAGGAGGACGGTGAAACAATAAATATGAAAGATGATAAAATACTGTTTTCTTTGTGTTCATTTGATTCCAATTCAAGCTGTTATAACGTCATTCTTCAATGTTAAAAACGGTTACAGTAACAATATAACACGTTAATTGGTAAAATAAGCGTGGGGGGGGGGTCACATTTTCAGCTAGTGGTGTGCAGCGAGATTTTTTTTCAATGAAAGAAGTGTGCCTTGGCTCAAAAAAGTTTGAAAAACACTGACGTAGAGCATATTTGACAATAAAAGCTGACTTGATTTGACTTGATGTAACATTCAAAGAATCAACTCCAGCTCAATTGAATAACAATGACATCTGTTGTTGTTCCGTTGTAACTGCATGTCAGGAGAGAGGAATTGTGGGAGTGACTGCCCATTGCAATGGCGGATTATTCATGTCTGAATATCCGTGGACAAAACATTGCAAACATTGCAGTGATGGAATAAATTCAAGTGCAGGTATTTCGTGAGTTTTGTTGAGTAAATTCTATCTATTCTATCAGACACCGTAAAAGGAAGAGAGTATATATGATAGTTGCTCCATGTACAGCACTTTGTGTGCAGCGATGGCTGTTTGAAAGTGCTCGATAAATACAGTTGAGTTGAGTTGAGAGTTGAGGAACAGCTTCCCTAGATATACAAACACCAATTCTAAAGTTTGGATGTCGTGCTGCAAAATTTAAATAAAATTAAAATACTTTTTTTCCACCCCAGTGGTGAGGAGTCAACAATTCAAATTGTTTTTGGTCATCATGGTTTTTTAGGGGCATTGTTGTGTGACACAGTGTCATGGGGCTTCCTGTGTACCAGAAGAAGCCTCCTCAACGGCTTATCAGCCAATAATTATTCGCAAGAGAAAGGAGAAGCAGATGTGGCCGAGACGAATTTCAGGCGACACGACACAGTACGGTGCTGTGACTCAGGAGGACATGTCTTCGAATGTGCATGTTGATGTCATTGCAACAGGAAGTGAAGGCCGTGCCCACTCAACCACAAGTCAGCATTCATGTGAACCGCGAATGCTACGCCATGAAGCTCATGCCGGCACATCCTCTGGCGCGCCTGCAACAAAAACACCAGCAGCCACCTTGTGTCATAGGCCACATGGGAGCGGGTGGGGAGCGTGGCCTCAGAGATGGAGATGAGCCACTGTGACAACACGCTGCTGCTGCTTTGCAGGTTTTTGTCTCATGGTCTCATTTCAACTTCATCTCATACTCACTGAGCTTATGTTTTGTTGTGATGTTATGCAAGCACAAGGAGGTCAATGTGTGATGTGACTCTGAGAGCTGCAGTGATTTTGTTTTCATATACTGGCATGCACAACAATGAACATGTTTTCTGGCTTTCTCCTCATCATTGGCGCAAGAGGATACAAGTTGTACCAGAACATTCCTGACATTCACGACAAAGCTCAGGCATGAAAAAGGATCAGGAGACCAACAAGGGACAGCACTGCTGACTGCGATTGCACATCAAATGACAAAAACAGAAATCCAAACCATCCCCACTCTGCGCACTGATATGAACACAGCTTTGATGACCTTACTCTTAAAACCCACCAAAGACCCAACTACGACCATCCAATTATCACCGACTGTCCCGAAATCAAACCTGTTTAACAGTTATAGAAAGCGATGCTCCTCATTCTACCTGACCTGCATTTCCTACACACAACAAACATCCTGTCCCAGTAAGCTTTTGACACAGAAACCATCACCGCTGTCATCTGTGGTGCGGGTGCTATGGCGACCGCTTCCTGTGGAAAGAGCAGCAGACACGCAAACAATATCACGCACACCAACGCTCACACTGAAATAGCGCAAGTCATTTTTAACTCACAACAAACATCCTGTCCCAGTAAGCTTTTGACACAGAAACCATCACCGCTGTCATCTGTGGTGCGGGTGCTATGGCGACCGCTTCCTGTGGAAAGAGCAGCAGACACACAAACGATATCACGCACACCAACGCTCATACTGAAATAGCGCAAGTCATTTTTAACTCAGTAAATAAATACCGATAGGCTTGCTAAATGATGTGGGATTTTTTTGTTTTTGTATGTGTGGGTAAACTCGCACAACTCCAAGTCATAGCAAAAGTTTATTTGAGGCAACTGAGCTTTTCTAGTTTGTTGATTTTTTTTTCAAAAATGGCTTTCAGAAGCTGAAAGATTTGTTTGTTGCCTCATCAACAAAATAATGAAGAAACAGCCTTTTAAAACATGTTCTTTAATTGAATTTTTGTTGATTTAATGACGCATTTTATAGCTCACTGACATGTAAAAAGTGACAAGTTCTAACATGAGCGCAGGAGGAAGAGGAAGATGGTGGCGCTGCGCTGGCTACTCCGGTGCGCCGAACCACAGGCCCAGTGTCATGACACAGTTGATGGCGAGCGTCTTGGCGAAGATGAGGCGGAGGGCGAGGACGGCGATGGACAGGACGTTCACCTTCTCATCTGCTGGCGACATGCATATTTAGCTCAGCCCGACAGACTGCGCCTCTCACATGTTCAATACGAACCTGGCACCAATGTGTCCTGGCACTGCCCTGGTCCACTGTCACCTGTGGTGGCAAAACAGGAAGCAGATGTGAGGTGGTGACTCCACTAAGATGACTGGAGGCCTCGCCTGACCATCCTCACCTTCCTCGCACGTGTCGTCATGTGCGGCTGTCAGCAGTGCCACCTGGTTGTATAACGAGTCATCTGATATTCGCGTAGGACGAGACTCCTCAAACATGTGTCCTTTTCCCGGCTTCTCAGTGGCATTGCGTTGGCTGAAGCCGGTGGCGAGACACGCCGTCAGGTTGCTAGCCTCAAGTTTGTAGAAGGATGGCTCAAAGTCCTCCCCTAAAACACCAACCACATGCTCACATTACAAGTGAAGTTGCGTCAAAAGTTTTCATGACCATAATATGGAAAATAAATGACCAATCCAAGTGGCTCCCCTCACTCCTTTTAAAATCAAGGCAGTCAAAGGACTTTGTCGAAGCAGAAATTGACTCACTGGGGTATATGAGATTGGTGCACACCAAGTGCATTCATTTAGCTGCAAGCTCTCCCCTTGCGGATGATATATTCGGCTGGGCATTTGACGTGGGCAATTGGAGAGCACCTTGCAACCCTGTTCAAGCATCCATGGGGACCAAAATCACGAACGGCAATTTTTTTTTTCCAGTGTTTGGTTTCTATTTTTAGTTTAGCACTAAATGAATCTGGAAATAAAACAACCATTTAGATTTTTTTCCAGTGATCCACTTTGGGTTATGGATTTTACTTGTCGCTTTGAAGAAACTTGCTAGTTCCTGACATGTCTAATATACAACACTAGCTTTCATTTTATGTTCGTGACAGCGTTTATGAAAGATTCACATAAAGCATGTCAACATGTAACGAGCAAATCCCCAAATTTCATTTTATTGAGCCGCCAAAAAGACGTTGCCATGTTTCCACTCACAAGGGTCAACACTCAATCTGGTTCCACATCCAAACATCGACTAAACATTCAGATAATGTGAGGCTCAGACAAAAAAAAAAATATGAACTTGCAAATTTTCTGTTTCTGATTTTAATTCAAACAAAACTAATTAATTCACTTCCAAAAAAATGAATAAATCCCACTTACTGGTTTCCACTGTCAATCTGATTCCACCTCCAAAAAGTAACCCGTATCCTGTCACACATTAGTTACTTCCTTAACAAGAACCTCCCTAGATCTGTTGTGAAGCTGCAAACTCAATAGGCTTCGTGGTGTAAAAAAATGGATACAAAAAATGTATTTTATCTTGTTTTATCTCATCTTTTTGAGGTAGTGACACAATTTGGGTTGCGATACATTAAAGCCAAACTTACAAGTCTCCACAGTCAATCTGGTGCCGCTTCCAAAAAGTAATCTCCGAAGTCCTGACACACATCAGTTGGTCCCTCAACAAAAACCTCAACAGAAACTTTGACAAGAGCACACTCGGGATCCGTATGGTGGGGTCACAGCTATGGTGGTATTGTGGTCATTTCCCAGCCTGAAGGTCGTGAGTCCAATCCTGAGTCCGAGTGGCTATGCCCGGGGGTCCTTGAGCAAAATACCAAAGCCCCAACCTGGTCCTGATGCTGATGAGGATTGTGAAAGTGCTTTGAGTACCTTGAAAAGCGCGATACCAGCAAAATCCCATTTGTTATTTACCTTCATGTTTCCACGTACAAATAAAATGTATAGTCAGCGTACCAGTTATCTGCTCGTTCCAGCTGCATGTTTGGGAAAATATACCAGTTGCGACACTCAAACTAGTTTCACAACAGTGGTCCGCCTCTTCATAGTGGCATTCCTCAAGGCAAGGTTCCTCGTCCACGAGACTTTCATAGAATCCATGTCGACTGGACACCCTTCTCCAAGTGTCAGGGCAAGGTTCCTCGTCCACTCGACTTTCATGGAATCCATGTCGACTGGACACCCTTCTCCAAGTGTCTGTGAAAGAACATTCTCGGCAGAAGCAAGCAACTGAACCTTTCCCCGAAAAATTGAGCGGAGAAAGGAAAACAAAGTATTCACGAACAATGATGTCAGTACAAGAAGTGGAAAATACAAGCTACTGTATATATTAAGATCATCCTGATTTCCATTGCCATGCTTGTTCCACCCCCGAAGACAATCTTGAAGCCTGCAGCAGCCTTCTTGCAACAACATCCACTGTGAAACAAAGCTGCAACCACATTGGCCACGCCCACCACCTCTGGCTTCACGATGCTGGCATCATGTTGCCTCTCTTCAAAGTTCCGCTCAAAAGTCATTCACATCTGTTTTAATGTTACCAGGTGGTCCCAAGTAATGGTACATACTACAGGAAAATGATACAGGATCCAACATTAACGGTGGCCCAATGGCCTTATGGCCCTGGACCAGTATGCCACTGTGGTCAGGCCACCACCGACATTCTCAATGCGGGCTCGGTAGTCCAGTACAAATTTCATGAATATTAAACTGAAATTCTTGCTTTTAAACAAAATAATGTATGATTTGAAAATTGAGTTTTTACCTGTCAGGCGAGGCAATCAAACTGTCTCAAAAGCAAAGGATCTTTTGGGCTCTCAAAAATCAAAAGTTGTTTTGTTTGGGGTTCACAGAGACTTTTCAGTGAAAGATTCATTGTTCAAAAGTAAGTGGCCACAATAAACAACCAATTTCGTTCCTATTTGCTTGCCTGGCCACAAGGAATCAGAAAAAAATATATCAAAAAACAATACGTAGAACACAAAGCGCTTGCGAAGGCAAGGTACATGAGAACAATGAGAATACACAAACGAAATATCACAAGTACAATAATGTGAAACCAAATATCAAGATCGATAAAAAAAGAACATTGAAAACGAGAGTGACTATGAAAGGCACCGAGCGGTCACACGTTTCCTGCTTTCCGTCTCGCCGAGTGGCAGCTTGCCACGTGCCGAAAGGTCGGCGAGTATCGAAAGTGACAGGAAGCAGCTGCACCTGCATATCAAGATGATTATGTACATACAGTATTTACTTTAATATTCGTGCAAGCTGATGTTATATTATTAATTCTCATTTTATGTTTGAGCATCATATTATTTTATGTTAAGATTATCGAAATTGCATTCTGTTGTTTAATTGCTTCGAGATGATTTTATGTTGATAGATTCTGATTGGCTGTTGAAGTAAGGGAAAGCAGGAAGTGATTTTAGTTGTGAAGTGTGTGTTCTCGAACGTGCTGCGGTGCAGATGTCTTTTTTTTTCTTTTCAATAAAACTGCATTCAAAGGATTCCATCTCTCTTTTCGCCGTTCGTAAAGTAGAGCCATCCATTAAAAAAGAACAACGAATCCCTCAACTTACATTAGCTGGAAATGAGTCTGATTAAAACCAAGAAAAGACAAAGATGATGTTCACGCGAACCACAGTGCGCTGCTCCGCCAATACATGATTTCCGTTGTGCGT